AGGAGTTGATGGGGAGGATTATTCCAAGGTGAAGGGTAGAGAGGGGTCCTGTGGATGGGGAGGGGGGGTTTGGAGGGGGGGTGTATGTTGAAGGGGATAGGGAGAGGGGGATCACTCAGGATTTGGTCCAGTTGATGGAGCCTCCAGTGGCTAGAGTATACTGTCCCAACCAATAGAGGATGGGGGGCCAGTGTTCTAGGGTTTCCCCTATGAGATATGTGTCATCTGCATAGGCTTGGACAGTTAGGTTGTATGCTCAGAAGGCATTGAAAAGGGGTTCAAGAGTTAGGTTAAAGAGGAGGGGTGCGAAATAGAAAGGGTCTCCTTGGGGCACTCCTTGTCCGATCAGGAAAGGGAGTCCTCTGGAGCTGTTTATGGAGACAGAGGTCTGTCTATTATGGTATGCTGTGTGGGCTAACCAAATGAAGGAGAGGGGGAAACCTGCTTGGTTTAGGACCCAGTCTATTACTATCCAGTGGTGGGAGACCTGGTCATAATATATATTGGATATTTACCCACGGTACAAATAAAGTCTTTTCCTCAAAAGATATCTGTGTGAATTGAGCATGGATTTTTTCCCATTCTTCCATAAGATCATTGAGCCATGCAGTACTCAAACCATTTTTTAGTATACCTTGACATAATAACTCTTCACTGACCAGCCTCTCCCGATCTGTTAAAAATTTACAATATTTTCTAGAGTCTTCTTTTCTTTCTATTCCACCATGATAGAAACATATATCTCTTTCCAAATCCTCATGAAAACATCTCATGGTCCACCTATTTTTCTTAGTCTCTGTAATGATTGAAAATTCTTTGGGATTTATTTCATGTTTGATGGCATACTGATAAAGGCAATTTTTGTTTGGCACCATTGCCTGAGTTTCTATCGAACTGTCTTGTATGATATGATTATCAGTATTTTCGCTTTGTGGGGATTCAGAAGTTTCAGACTTTATCCAAGGATTGAGTCCAGCCTCTTCCATATATGCTTTATATAATCTAGAACGAATTTTATCTGTCTGAAAACTTGGTAAATCAACTAAATTAGCATGCCATTTGCAATAGTCATCAGTTAATATCTTGTACTTGCTGGAGGTAGTATCAGAAGACATGTTATTATTTTATATTAATGCAACTCAATTCAAAATCACATAACTGCCAAGAAAAAAAATATCACTATTCACTTGACCAGGTTTATGTGATTATTTCCTTACACGGTTATTTCAGTCCACATTTAATAAAATAAGATCCAGCTTCATATCTACCTCTTATACTTTTCTCATCCTTATGACTTAATTTACATGCTGGACATAATGACTTATCAATAATTCCATAATAATCAAATTTTTCACTACTAAATTCTCTATGTACAGTATGGGTATTGACCTAATATTTTATTACGAAAATAATCATGATCATGAGTTAGAGTTAGATTATTCTGCTTTTTAGGTAAGGCTTTCTCAGTAATGGGTTTTAAGGCAGATGGTATAGATGATATACTTGCATGATCTATAGATGGGATAGCAGAGCTAGTGTCAAGGCATATCTTT